TGACCTGGTGCACCCAAACTTTTGCACATGACTGTATTGCTCTGCTTAGCTGTGACCATTATGCTTTACCTAGGGTCCAATATCAGCTGCATGTGTGCTCGTATTCTCTGCTGTTGTCACGCATTCAGTCAAAAGCAACAATAATACACCATTTATTTTTTTACTGTAAACTACACATTCAAATACCAAAGAACCTCGCCCATCACTGACGGACATACAGGGCTAACAGGCCAAAGACTGATATAATTCACACTCCATGACATAATATTGTCAGCCAGTTTATACGTCCTCGCCTGTACAGTTTTCAGATTTCACCATATATGGAGTTAAACGGTACAACGCCTGGTCCTGGACCAGTAACAGCCTGATACACTTACTGCAGATGGTTATATGTGTCATTTTTGCCTCCATTTTCTTTCAGATGTCATCTTCCCATCTGGCATGCTGTCATCATTTGAAGCTGAAGGCCACTGAATGGCCAAACAGCGCTCAGTTTATGTTTCATCATGGGCAGTACTGGCTTAATCTTTGTGTTCTCCATGGTCAGGCTCAGCTTAGGGGTAAATTTGAGTGACAGCTTTTTCATTGGTATGTCTGTGCATGTGTTTGTTCATGCACCTACACATGTTATTCTAGTGTGTGCTCGAAGGATCTTTGTGACTCCGCTCATGAATGCGGCTCCTGCTGCTCCCTGGGGTGCGGAAGCCTGATTAGCATTAGTGTTTATTCCACAGGGCCTATTTTTAGCATGGCTTAGAATGACTTCCTTGTTTTATAGGTTCTCTTGAGCTTGTCTGTCTGTGCTTTCAGCACAAGTGGAGTACGTAGTGGCATGGAGCGTTTGAATGTGTATTAGGCAAACACCAAAACTGTGACTTGAGCATCAGGCCTGGGGTGGGAATTTTGTTATCGTCATTTTTCACCAGTCTATTCCAAGACTCGTGTACAATGGGGCCAAATTGACATATCAGAGTCATATAATTTGATTTGTTGTCTATAAATCATATCAATTGGATTTGGTGTCACAAACAAGCAGGCAGTGGCATAATGTGATTGAGTAGCTACAGGGAATAGACTGAGTGGGAGTACAACGGGGTGTGTGTGTGTCTGTGTTTGTTTTTGTACAATTTCCAAGACATTATAGTGCTGATTTTGTAAAGTGTGTATTATATATTACATATGGGTATATATAGATATAATACATAAGGGTACTACCTTAATATGGCAACACTTATACTAATACTTAATTTACTTTCAAGTTACATTTAACTAAATATCTACTAAATTGACCATAATTTTCTTTAACTCTCTGACTTGGAAAAAAGTCCAAGTCCCATTGACTTACATTAAAAGTACAGTATATTTTTTCTTCTTCTGTAAAGTTACCCTCTAGGATACTGTACTTTTAATGTAAGTCGGTGGAACCAGACTTTTTTTCCAAGTCATTCTATCAATAGTCGTAACAAAACCTTCTGTCTCCAAAATGGTAACTTTACAGGAGAAGGCAAAAACATGCTTCACTTTTAATGTAAGTCAATGGAACCAGGTGTATTTTCAAGTCATTTTAGGCTGTTTCTTTTGGTCCATTCATCATGAAATTTACACACAATATAAAGGGCAATAAGCATTTTCGAATGATATCAAAAACTGAAAAACATCAAAAATGGAGATACAAGGTTTTGTTCCGATAGCAGCGATATATATTTTCTCCCCGTGTCTGTGTGGGTTTCCTCCCACAGTCCAAAGACATGCAGCCAGGTCAATTGGACATGCTAAACTGCCCATTGGTGTGAGTGTGAATGTGTATGTTTGTCTGTCTGCCCTGCGATGGACTGGCAACCTGTCCAGGGTGTGTCCTGTCTTCCACCCAATGACAGCTGGGATAGGCTCCAGCACCCCACCGCGACCCAGAAGAATAAGCGGTTTGGATGGTGTGTGTGTGTATATATATATATATATATATATATATATACATACATATATATGCACATACATCCTTCTCAGTGCTCCTAATCTGATAAGCCAGCCTTGATCCTTGCAGCCTGTATGTGCATGAATGTGTGTGTGTGTGTGTGAGTGAGTGTGTGTGAAGGTTATATAGTAAGGCTGTGTGTGTGAGGAGATGTGGGAGGTAAACGATGATGGGTTTGGAGACTGCACTGCTCTCTGACTGGCCCATCAGTCACTGGTGTCACACTGCTGCTCTCTGTCTCTCAGCGCCCCGCCAGCATGCCTGCATTACATCCATATAAATGTCCAGCGTAATGACTACACCCAGGCCTTAAAGGAGTACTTCACCACAGCCATGAATCTAAACCACGGAGGACCGGTTAACCCTCCAAGGATCCAGCAGTGCATTCAAAAACATTCTTACATTTTGCTTAATTATTTCTCACCTGTAGAAACAAGCAGAGATATTATGCTCAAAGAGTAGATTCTAAACTTTCAATCTGTATCACATTTGCATTATTATGTAAAAGAAAAGATATTTTATTATGATTTGAATTTGACATTTTTGCCAAGTTTATGTTATTGTTTACATTGAAACAAATGGGATAAAATCAGATATGCAGAATCTGTCAATACAGTATGTAAATCAAATCTACTGCAATTCATTGAGTAACAATGATATGCAAGTGTGTGAGAAGGATTGGGGCGACACCAAGCAGGATGTCTTTAGGTAGCACTCAGCATGTCTGAGCTACAGCGTGAACAAACAGGCGAACTGAAATGATCCATTTTGCTGTTTTTCAGAAGACATAAGTTACATGCTTCTTTTAGCAGAGCTCTTCCTATTTCTCAGTTCTCAGAGCGTGTAAGCCTTCTCTGAATGTCTTTTCCTGCGATGTGCAGAAGAAAAATCTACGAATTCTAGTTGCGTTCTCCAAGAGGCCACACTGGCGCTCTCAGTTGAGGTGTGAAGGATGTGTTAACTCCTAGAAAATTAGTTATCATTGTTGTTTTACCATATGTTTAATGTACATTACATATGCTATATGGCCAAAAGTTTGTAGACACCTACTCATCCAGCTTTTCTTTTGAAATCAAGGGTATTAATATAGAGTTTGTCCTCCCTTTGCTGCGGTAACAGACTCTGCTCATCTGGGAAGGTTTTACACTAGATGTTGGAACATTGCGGTGAGGATTTGATTGTATTTCTCCACGAAAGCCTTAGATTAGTCATGGATCACAAATGCCGCTCCAACTCATCCCTATGGCAAAGTGTTCCGTCTCTTCAGCGAACACAGTTGCATTGCTCCACAGCCCATTGCTAGGGCGCTTTATACCTCTCTAGCCGACACTTGGCATTGGGCATGGCAATCTTGGGCTCATGTACAGCTGATCCAGAGTGTCTTATTGCTTTTCTATGGACATTATACAACCTGAATAACATTTACATTGTAGTGTTGACAAGTTCATGTCTGCTCTACACCAATGTGTCAGCGATAACTGTGACAATGTGCAAAGTTCTTTGCCTTCTGACACTTCTGGTGTGTCTACCTAAAGTCCTTGTATAGCTTCCCATCTCATCTGGTTAAAGAGGCAGGCTTTCCCTCTGCCTCCATACGATTTGATTAGCCTTACCAACTTTGATATGGACCTAACAATTGACAGTGAGGATATGTCAGTCTCAGTCAATTCACAGGCAGCTGTGCTCATTGGCTCCATGTGTGGCCATGTGATGTGGACTAGGGATGGTTCGATGGTTCTAGGCTTCTAGGCAGATGGGTAGTGGCAGTGTGGCTTTGAAAGCAGCAGCAGTGCTGTTGATAAGGACAAGGCTCCAGTGGTAAGAACCATCCATTATTCAGGAACTCTGTCAGCTGGAGTGGAGGAGTGTTCAGCCAGGAGCTGAGCGACACACACATACCAACACTCTCTCACTCACTTACACACACCACAGAGAGAGATAGAGGGATGTACTGTTTTGTGCTGCAGGCTTTTGAAATGGTTTAGAGCCACCATTGAAACTACACTGTTCGACTTATACCAGATAAAATAGTTGAGTAGTTGGAAAAGTTATTCTTAAAAAGAGACTACTGTGTGGGCACATCACTAAGCACTCAAAGCAAGGCCTCATGTGTGAAAATCTTGCTTTCTGATTGGCCATCTGCATATCTGCAGTGACCCTTTCAGAGTGAGACAGTCGCTGGATTGAAAAGAGTTTGTGATATTCACAGCATTACACCTTGAAAAGGTTTTCAAGCATTTAGAAGCTTTTAGGTGAGATATCCCTGAAAGTTTGCTGCATTTGTTTCCTGCAGGTTTGTTTTTGAAAAATCACCAGGTTGTGCATGTCACACTAAAACTGTGGTCTGCAGTGCCAGTCAAATAGCCTTTCCTGTCAGTGTGGGCGGCCAGGTTAAGTGGCTGCAGACTGCAAACTGCAGTAGACTCTCTGGAGATGAAATCTGGCTTGAAAGACTAGTTTAAAGGGTGTGGAAGCATAATTCATGCAATTGTTTGGCAATTAATAATATTATTTTCCCCTTACTCTTAATATAGTTGGGATTATTTGTACATTTTACCCTCTCCCTACCCCACCAGTCTCTTGCCTACTCTCCTCCAAACCAATATCACCACCACCACTGTCAGTTTAGTCATGGCCGATTTCTACCCACTAGCCAGGTCCCCCCTTATTCCACTGGTAAGGTAAAAGTCACATGAACTGCTACTGCATCGTTTTCTATGCAGCATATTTGCATAGCTCAGCAGTCTTGGAGGAGAACATCAGCTAACAAACATGTATATTGGCTAGCATCACACTGAATTATGGAGGAACAGAGGGGGCCATTCTAGCCACTAAGAGAAATCAAATATAGTTGATCAGCCAAGGCATGTTTGGTGTCAGAAGATCTTTAGCTTTTTGCACTGGAGCCACAAAGCTAGTATAGCTAACAAGTAATGGTGCTTATGTGCTACTGTTAAGCATTGTTTGGGACACTTGCCTGAAAACTTTCAGTAATCTCAACCTTTCTCTCCTTCTCTCTTCCTTCCAGCGGAACCCCTGCCTCTGATGGACCTGTGTCGGCGTGCGGCACGACTGGCCCTGGGTCGGGACCGACTGCAGCAGATCGAGACTCTCCCTCTGCCCCAATCTCTGAAGAATTACCTCCAGTACCAATGAGCTGGACAAGAAGGGCGCATACACTCAGACTCAAAGAGCGCAGGCCTGAGGTGCAGCTACTGTAGCGCCATTACCAGGCTGCTGAGGGCACATGTTTACATTGAGAGCTGTGGCTATCTGGTGGACACTTGTGGACTAATCCCTCCTCCCCCCTTTGATTTCCCCCTCTTGGAATGATTTCTTTAAATTATTGATGGTAGGAAAGAAGTAGACGTACCTCTACATGCCTGCAGCACCCCCTGCTGGTGGGTGACGTGTAAAGTCTCTCCCTGGACGTTGCAGCACATACCTCGACGCTTGGGAAAGCACACTAACCTTGGGATGCCTTTGAGAGCTTACAGCGATGCTCCTATGTTCCAGAAGCCAGGCAGCCTGCGAGGCAAAGCCTCGGGAGGCTGCAGCCCGCAAGCCAAGCACCTAGAGGCCAGACTTAGCAGATGCTGTCGAGCCTTTTGCACCTCTTGGTGGCAGTGCAGTGTCCCAGATGGTGCCGAGCAGGTCTTACCCCACGCACAACAATGACAACAGGCCATCGCTAGCCCACATTATCCACAATGCTACTGAGACTGCTAAGACTGACAGAACTTACGTAGTACCTTAAGGAAAGTAGGTTAACAGGTGTATACATGCAACATAAATACTCCAAAAAAGTATCGAGCATTTTCTTTTCCTTTTTATTCTTTTCTATTCCTGAGTTTGTACCCTAATTTTAATGCGTGTGCATCTCCTCCCAGGCTGATGGTTATGATGATGACTATACTGCGATGTTATTGCTATGTTTTATTTATCTGGATCTAGTTCCTTTTTAAAGAGTATGAGGGTGTGCTAACTGGAGCACCCTCAGAAATCCATCACGTATGGCTTTTTATTTGAAACCGTGATGCTGCTTTTATTATTATTATTATTATTATTATTGTTATTATTATTATTATTATTGATACTAGTGTATCTGCCTGATCAGATGGAAGACCTTCTGTGGCAAACAGTGGAATGTAAGGACATCGCTGATGTTAGCATATTCGAAATGTGAATAAAATCCAAGTGAATGAGTTCATTGTTCCCATTTTTTATGAGGCCAACATGTTGTGTGTGTGTGTGCACAAGTGTAAACATTCCTTCATCCAAAAACAAGCTCAGCTCAGCCTATTTACATAATTCCAACTCTTTTTCCCAGATAGCTTTGCATGGTGGTTTCCCTCCTTTCTTCACCTCTCCTCACCCACATATAACCACTTACTGGCCACTTTATCAGGTATATGTACCTTACCATATAGGTGCGATGTGTAGTGTGTGTGTATATACACCAACTGGCCACTTCTTTACATACACATCCTTTTACCAGCCCCCTTTCACCCTGTTCTTCACTGCTCAGGACTCCCTCAACCATCATATCCATATGAGCTTGTTGGGCATCCCATTCCAAAACCACTGATATGGAGTTAATAGGAAGTTGGCCCTCTTTTTATGAATACAAAAGCCTCCACTCTTCTGGGAAGGTTTTCCACGATATTTTAGAGTGTTTCTGTGAGAATTTTTGCCCATTTAGTCAAAAGAGCATTTGTGAGGTCAGGAAATAATGTTGGATGAGAAGGCTTGGCTTGTTGTCAACATTGTAATTCATCCCAAAAGTACTCAGTGGAGTTGAGGTCAAGGCTCTGTGCAGACCACCAGAGTTACTCCACACCAAACTCGTCAAAACATGTCTTTATGGACTTTGTGTACAGGAGCACAGTCATGCTGGAACAGGAAAGGGCCTTCCCCAAACTGTTACCACAAACTTGGAAGCGTAAAATAGTCAACAACATTTTCTATGCTGTAGCATTAAAATTACCCTTCACTAGAACTAAGGGGCCCAAACCTTGAAAAACAGCCCTAGACCTTTAACCCTCTACCACCAAACTTTAATGTTGGTACTATATATCACGGTAAGAGGCATTTTCCTGGCACCTACCAAACCTATTTGTCCATCAGACTGCCAGATAGTGAGGCATGATTCATCACACCATGGAGCACATTTCCTCTGATCCAGAGTCCAATGGTGGTGTACTTTACATGACTCAAGTCGATCACATAGTGATCTTAGGCTCGTGTGCAGGTGCTCGGCCCTGGAAACCCATTTCATGAATCTCTCAATGCACAGTTCTTGCGTTGATGTTGTTTCCAGAGTTAATCTGGAACTCTGCAGTGAGTGATGCAATAGAAGATAGATGATTTTTAGGCACTACATGGTGGCTGAGCTCTGTGAGTGTGCATGGTCTACCACTTCATGGCTGAGATGTTGTTGTTCCTAGATCTTCTATTTCACAATAATAGCACTTACAGTTGTCTGGGGCAGATCTAGCAGGGCAGAATTTTCATGAACTGACTTGTGGCAAAAGTGGTATCCTATGACAGTGCCATGTTTGAAGTCACCGAGTTCTTCAGTGTGGCCCATTCTACTGCCATGTGTATGTCTATGGAGATTCTATGACTATGTGTTTGTTTTTATATGTTAGCAATGGGTGTGGCTGAAACACCTGAACTCAATAATAAGAAGGGGTGTCCACAAACGTTTGCCCATATAGTGTATATACGTATATTTATTTACACATGTTAGGAAAAAGCAGAAACATGAATTTAACAGAAATTACACAGAAACCTCAACCACGAAATATAATATCACAATTTTTAATATTTAGTATGTCCACTCTTGGTTTCCATTACAGCCTTCATTCTTTTCAGAAGACTTGCTTTCAGTTTTCAAAGAAATCCGCTTCCAAAGTTTAGTAAGTGGATTATCTTACATCTAATCTCCTCAGAAATATCTCCTGAAAAATGAATAACTTGTACTTATTGGCCTGTACTGTATATTTATGGGATATGTGTATATATACACATGCATACAGTCTGAGACTTCAAGCATGTTATCTAACTCAAGAACTAGAACATTCTTTTCACATTCTACTGTGTGCAAAATCAGTGGGTGGCGTAACTCTCACCTTTCTCCCCTTTCTCCATACTAATCCATACTGCCTTCCTTTTTCTTATCCCCGATGCCAGAATAGGCACCCTGCTATTGACCTGAAAAAGCCTGAACCAGGCGACTGTGTTTCAGGTTGCTTCTGAAGCTACAGCTAATACTCCTTTTGCATAAAGAGAAAATATAAATGCCCCCCGTGCCCCCGCCATTGTAAGACACAATCTTTAAGTGCCTTTTTTTAGATAATGGAGAAGCTTCCCTCTGGGGCTGAACAAATGCAAAAGTTGGGTTTGCCTTAATCCTCTGCTTCAGGCTGATGCATCATGCTGGAGGGGTTTCAGTATTGGAAATCAATACCAGACAACAAGATACTGGCCTTTTGTACCTGCACAAACACGGTCCACTTTCTTTTTTCTCCCTTACTCAAATGTTATGAGTAAACACAGATCCTAAAGCACAGGGTCAGAGATAAGGCCTTGATCAGGTAAGCAGTGGCACACTGCAGAGAGTCACAGTCTGGTGGTATGTTGATGATCACCACCCATAATCTCATCCGTGATCTCTTATATACTTTTGTTTAGAAACATTTCCTGTGTAATTCCACTCACTGATTATTCCAGCACATACGTATTCACACATTATATGGCCAAAAGTATTTGGACATACCTCCTAATTACTGAAATCAGGTGTTTCAGCCACACCAAAGCACATAGTCATGTAATCTCCATGGACAAACTCTGGCAGTAGAAAAGGTTGTACTGAAGAGCTCATAGACTTACAGTGGGAGTGGGGCATGCAGGTAAGGCTTTCCGCACAGCAGAGGACTGAAGGAACATGCAGGAGGCTCCATGGTAGTCAAACTGGTCCAGTGGGGCAGGTAAGCAGGGGCACCCAATCAAGGCAGATCTTGCGATTGCATCAGACCAGACAGGATTGGCAGTTGTTCAGCTCAGCAAAGATCACCCAATCAAGGCAGATCTTGCAACAGGAACTGGAACATTGGAACAAATGGGCTACAGATGTAAAACCGCACAACATCAAAGTGGACCTACAAGGTAATTTCAATGAAGTGGCCATGTCTAAAAATGCTTGAAAAGAACTTGGGAACCATCCATTGTTTACAACACACACTCTTATACTTTAGAGTCTTGGACATTAGCATTGTGTTCACTTCCTCCAAATGTTGGCTTCAATGTGCTGCCTAGACATCGGCCTGTGACCTTTTCCTATGGATGCTTAGAGGTGTGTGAGGAGTGAAAGAGAGAGAGGGGGACACTCGTCCACTGCTGAGAGCCTGGAGCGTGAAAAGAGCGAGACATCCTTGATGCACTTCCTCCCCTGTGGGGCCAAGTTGTTGTGTGAGAGAGAATGGGAATATAAATAGTGAGATGCCTAGAGCGGCGGTTGAGGGGGCAGCCTCTCGATGTCACAGATGACCTCAGCTATCAGCCCCCTTATGCAGGTGCATCCTGGCCTGTGAGAGTCACAACATTCTGAAAAGCTTCTGAGAACGGACCATGCATTCTCAGAACAGCCCACACATCTGGGCTACTTAGAAAGCAGCAGGCTTGTGTTTTGCTTGGCCGTTCCCATGTCAGCAGTCCCTGTGCAGACATTCGGCCTGCATGCTCAAACAACACTGGCTTGGTGGGACAGGAAATCCAAGAGCACATTTTGTTTCTTCTGTGAGAACCCTTGCTGGCAAGAGATCATGAACAGAGTTCAGACAAAGAGATGGCCAATCTATCTTTAAGCAATCTTGGGGGAAACTGGCCATTTACTGCAATGCATTTCTGGGTAAATAGATGTTGTATGGTGGGAAAAGGCTCTGCAGTTACGTATCTCAACTGAAATAGTAGTAGTCAAGGGAGCTGCTGGGATGTGGACAGACAACTCATATCAAAGAGGGGATTGCAGAGATTTCAGGGATTGTCTGTTTGCTTTTCTCCTTAGTGTGGATGTTTAGGGGACGTCCAGAGAGATAAGACAGGTAAACATACAGTTGTCATGTTCATACAGAGGTCTATGTGTCTCTCTGTAGCCAAAACTGTTTTTTTTTTTCCAAGCCAGCTTGCATAAACACAGCATCCCTCATATCTACTGCATTTGTGCTGAACCCTGTCTGTAGGGCCCACCATATTTTGTTCTATTCCAGCTTAACAAAGGCATTAAGAACACTGAATACCTAGAGATGCTGGGATGTTAAAGTAAAAATACGAGCATCTAGTGAGCTTCAAGAAGGGAGATGAGAAACGCTTTGCTCAGGCCTGAAGCATTCCTGTGGTTCACACCTGTGTGACGCTTTAAGGAGCACAGCACAGCTTAACATAAGCCTTTACAACATTATGCAGTAGGATGCCAAGAATCAAACGCAGCCAAATGACCCCCAGCAGACCGAAGAAAAAGTCGCAGCCTCCTGGTAAAAAGTATACCTTGCTAATGTGGAATTTCTATTTGGCAGCTACCAGACAAAGTCTCAATTCTCAGCCGACTAAATGGGAGATAGATGTTCAATCGAGTCATGTAAGAAGAGAACACATTATGCACTGGATGCTTCAGGCTGCAACTGGAAAATGGACTGGCTCCCTCTTAAGTCAGAAGAATAGAGTTACACTATATGGACAAAAGTATTGGGACACACCCTTTAATCATTGAATTCAGGTGTTTCGTTCTCTCCTATCGCCACAGGTATATAAAATCAAGCACCTAGCCATGCTGTCTGGCTTTTCCAAATATTTGTAAAAGAATGGCTCATTCCACAGAGCTCACTGAATATGAGCGTTGTGCTCTAATAGGATGCCACCATTGCAACAAGTCAGTTCAAGAAATGAAAAGTGAGTGGTATTATTGAAAAGTGGAAGCATTTAGAAACCACAGCAACTCCAAGACTAAGCTGAGCAGATGCAAGTCCTATATTACCAAGCACAATGCCAATCAGTCGGAATGGTGTAAAGCAGCCACCGCTGGACTCTGGAGCGGTGGAAACGTATTCTGTGGAGTGACGAATCATGTTTCTCTATCTGGCAGTGTGATGAACAGGTCTGGGATTGGCAAATGCCTGGAGAATGTTACCTGCCTGCTGGCATTGTGA